CCCCAAAACCCCAAAACCCCAAAACCCCTCCCTCTTTCAATTTCAAATTTTGATTTTTAATAATTAAAATCAACAATATATTTATCTGCTAGATGAATTAAAGATATATTTAAGTATTCATAAATTCCTTCCATGGTAGTCTTCTTGAGAGCACATATTCCCAAAGACTTATATATTTGCTTTCAAACAAAAGATCTCTGATTGATGTCAAGATTATAGATATCAACAAAGAGCTTTAAAACGTTCACTCGACTACATTTCAGTCAGACTCAACAGACTTTAGAAATCAACTATGTGAAAATCAAGGTCTGATCAGGAATGGTGAGGACCTAAATATATTAGTTCCATAGGTATTTCTTGTGCAAGAGGAAATACAGTTCAAGAAATTGTCCATAAAATCCAGCAAGAATTAGTTTCATTAATCAACTTCAAAGCACAAGAAAGCACTTTCTGATTTGACTAATTTAGTACGGCCTCATTCATCAAGAATCTAAGAGAATCTATCAAAAAGGTATTATATTGGGGACTACTTATGCATCCAGTATCTTGAAGACTGTGGTATTCTTGATAGGATATTAACTGGGGAGTAGTGTCCTCATTTTAGAGTTTACAAAGGCAAACCATACTTTCAATTATCTAAGGTATAGAATAGAATCTCTGGCTCTGTTTTAGAATGCAATCAATGTACCTTCGAGAAATAAGAGCTTCTAGATTAAAGATTTGCTTAGAAATGTAGCGATCATAATTTGCTAAATCTTAATCTTTTGATACTTTGCAACTACTTCAACTCATATTGCAAGTTAAGTCATGAACTTTGCTCTTTCTTTGAGAATAGCAACATCAACTTTAGACTTATTGATCCCATGTAATCTGGTAAATCACAACTACTTTCAAATAGCACTCATCATATACTCATTAATTAATGTAAAAATGCTTCTAAAGAGGAGCTCCCTATGATCTTCATTCATGGATAGCATGTAGATATTTAGAGAGTATTAGCCATAGCCTAAAAGGGGACATTTCTCAGCATTATTGGAAAATCAAGGTGTCTACACTGTGAAAAGAAAATTAACTCCTCAACCTCCCATTAAAAGATATAAGCCTCAAAATAACCTCTCCATGACTTTTGTTGTTAAACTTGCCACATTGATATTTGTAAAACCTAAATAAATTTAGAAAATTACTTCTAAAGGAAACCAATAATGTAACTTGCAGAGGAACTTCCTCAGTAGGGAAATTAGATAATGTATCAATAAACTTTTAAGAAGTCAAAATCACCAAGAGCTACTCAGACTAAGAAACTTGCAAAGCCTACACAGATGAGGTAATCAATATGTGCTACATCAAACAACTCGTTGATGCTAAGAGAAGATGTCAGAAAATCAATGAATTTAACTTTTAGATGACTATAGTAAATTTGATAAGACTAGTGAGATTTGTGATATATATATAAATAGATAATCTTAATTTCTTTAAAAGTATAGTTTATTAATTAAGTGTATCAGTCTTTCATTACAACATCATCCTTTAGCATTGCTCTCTCGTGAGTACTCAGCTTTGGCATCTAAGGGATAGTCAAAGCTTTTTCAGTAACTTTTGAACCATCAATAGGCTTGTACTTCCTAATTGGAGTAGCTTTGAAAACTGCCATTTCCCTCACTTTTCTGATTTAATCTTCAATCTCCTTCTGCTTCTGGTCTTTGATTGCTGCCTCTTATGCAAGCTGCTCAGCCTCCTTTTCTCTGATCTTTCTATTGAACTCATCTCTTGATCTACTTCTCAATTGAGATTGCAGTTTGAATTCCTATTGGATTATTCTTGGAGTTGGATTTTGCTTGCTCTTGCGACTGTTATCTGACACAGCATCTGAAAATCTTATCTTAAATTCTCTGGCCTTGAAGTGAGCTTAGTCAACAGCTTACTTCTTCTCATGCTCAACAAACTGTTAGAATTTAAGTTACTTTTCCCTGCCTCTGGCATCAGTTTGAAAATCGAAGGGTTTAATTTCTAACTGGGATTGCTAGGTCTATTTTTTCAAGCAAGTCTTTGGCTTGAGGTTTGAAAAATCAGGCATAGGAAGAGCATGGAACTGTTACTGTTGATCCTTTTCCTCATTGCTATTACTTCTCTTCTTAGAAGATAACCTCTTCTAGGTAGCTAATTAAAACTCCTAAAATGTTATCTGCTTCTTGATATCATGCTTCACCTCGAAAAATTTGTACTTTGGCATTTCTCTTGCTTTAAAATTGGTGCTGTTGTTGTCCTTTGAGTTAAGTGATTCCTCATTTTCATGCTGCTTTCTAAAACTGATTCTCTCATCAGTCTTAAAATTGAATGGACTAAACTCAGTCAGTCTTCTTGGCTTCATATCAGTCTTAGGTGATTTGTCGTCATTCTTCTCAAACAACTTCTTGTCAAGACTTTTAGCTCTGAAAATATTCTAACTGGTATTTTCTTTATTGTTTTAATACTCAATAAGAGTTTTATTGCCAAGCTTTGTGTTTGATTTAGAAAGGTTGAATTCAGAGAAAGTAATCTATTCCTTTTTCTCAATCTTAGGGATAAATGGATTCTCAAATGCCTTTTTGTTGAAGGGCTTTGCCTTGAAGTCGCTTCTTTAACTTCTTTCATAGATCTTATCAGCACTAGCAATTTAGAAGTCTCCTTTGAGTTTCATCCTTTCGAGTGTTTGAAGTGTTGGAGATCTGGGTTTAGTCAGTAAAGTCTTAGATGTTTTCTGGTCTGGCTTTGCTTCAGAATCTCTCAATCTAAAACTTTTCTTGATTTAAGCCCACAAAGGTTCATATTCTTGCTAAGGCTCAACATTAGCTGATTCATCAATATCTAGTCTCACTCTTTTCTAGGTTCTCAATTCAAATGGATTAGATACAGTCAAAGTTCTCTTTTTTTTCTTTGGCTTGTCTCTTGATTGCAAGATTTTTCTGGCAGACTGTAGTAACTCCTCCTTATTATCACTCTAGGCTAAGATTTGCTTGCTTTTCTCAAGTAAAGCAGTCACATAGCTGCTCTTCTTCTTTTGCCCTGATTCACCTGCATGAGATTATGAATCTTGAGTCTTTCCTGATTAAGTTTTCAAAATCTTTTTATATAATTTCTACTACTTTTCTCTCTGCTTCATTAATGCTTTCTTCTCCTAATTAGCATTTTCTAGAATGATTTCATCTGTACATTTAGGTTTTTGTGTTTCTGAGAAGTTTTCAGTCAGCATTTCATTGGGCATAGGATTTGCAAACGATAGTTCGTGGGGTTGTGAATTCATAGCAAAGCTAAATTGTGTGGAGGTCATTTATGAATTGATAGATCAAAATTATTCTTATATTTATAAAATAACGGAAAATTTAGCTAAAACTTTACAATTTAGCATTAAGGGGTTTTGGGGTTTTGGGGTTTTGGGGTTTTGGGG